AGTTAAACCAATGAAGTAGAGTCGCCTGGAGGCCCCTGAGGGTCTGGGGCCACATAGAAGCAGAGATGCCTCTGATGGAGGGGCCACAGACACCCTGGAAACCTCATTTTGCTGTTTTACAGCAGGATATTTGCAGCAGTGATGTTAATGTGCGAGTGGACGCATGCGTGTGGTGCAGTCCTTAAAATACGACAACTGGTAGCAGCGTTCTTTTCTTTTTCTTTTTTTTTTGGTTGCTTCAGTTAGTTCAGCTATAGCCACACACACTGTGGAGTCTATCCCAGCTGACTTAGAACAAGGCAGGATACACCCTGGACAGGTCACCAGTCTATCACAGGGCTTCACATAGAGACAGACAACCAAGCACACTCACATTCACACCTACGAACAATTTAGAAACAACAGTTAACCTCAACATGTCTATGACTGTGGGAGGTGAGAACCCACGCTGACAGGAAGAACATACAAACTCCACTAGTCGATATCTCGCATTTAAAACACATAACAAGACAAATTAATTTAACTGTTCCATCTATTAAATAAAAAGGAAATATTTGAAAAATTATTATATATTTATAATTTTATGTTTTTAAAAAAAAAATCACTTTTTTTGAAAGATATTTATATTTTGTGGTTATTCACAGTTGCTTGTTTGGAATATACATTAGAAATGTAAATTCAAAAATATTTTTGCTATTTTTTTCTATTTCAATAATACTGAAAAAAATCTGCAAAATAAAAGGAAAAATTACACAATTATTAAAAAAAAAATTATATATATATTGCAGTGCATGGACAAAGTTTTTCATTTTGAAATCTTAAATAAACAGATTTTTTGTCTTTGGCTGAATTTTCTGCCTGAAGCACTCAACAACATCTCCTCTTCTGAACTGTTTTAAACGGTGGTCACCCAGATAACCAAACTGTACGGTGTTCACCTCATAGTTAGTGACCTTCACTGTACTGTAAAAAACAGCAGTCAGTATGTGACTTCTTACCCCTCCATCAAAGTTTTCATCTATCCTCTACACTACAGCAGCTTAATAGAATTCTATGTCTTTTGGTTTTTTGTGTGCCACACCAGGGTTTTCAGTGGCCCCACATTGCCACCTGTATGACACATTTCTGGAGGCCTGTTTCTTTGAAGGGTCAGCAGCTGATGGTCCCACTTATTACTGATCTGGAAGTCATTAGCCAATAATGTGTCAATAATAAAATGACTAATTATAAACCATGTGCAAACGGCGTTTGATCAGAAGACGGGACCGGATTAATGAACAGCGACAAGCTGCGGATCGATTTTAAAAATTGGTTGTCCTCGTNCAGTACCTGCACAACATGAAAACATTTTATTTACACTATGATGGATTCAGCAGGACCCATCAAATGTTCACACATGAATGTGATTGTTCCTAAAGTAAACCGAATGTACCAAAATGAGAAAAGGTAGTTTAGGCATTATATGAGCTACAACACACAAGAACTCAACAATTCAAACAGGGATTTATAAATTGCATCCTATTCTAGATAGATATGCTTGATGTGAACTTTTCATGGAAATGCAGATTAAAATCTTTTTCTTTTTTTTTTTAAGGTTGACAGCACAACCTGTATGGCTTCTTATTTCTTTCTTCTTATTTCTTTACACAGAACTGACTTTTAGGAATGATCAGAATCACAAGTTAAAGTTCAGGTCCATTCTTAATACTGTTTCCTAAAGGTTATATGCACACTGGCCATTGGAAGTGACTCAGACTTGATTTTACACAGATCTTACACACAAACACACCCTGAACAAAGACTAAGAAGATGCTGTGTTGTGAGGGAGAGGTACATCTGTTTAAAGTAGACTCCTTTTTTTATTTTAAGAGTAATTATTTCCAGTCAATAACACTGGCAAAAAAAATAAATATTAATAATAATTAGACAATAAATGGGTTCAACAGATTTTCCTGTAATGAACCTGAAGCTGTGATGTGAATGTACGTAACTTGAGTATTTCCCTTCTATGCGACTCAGTACCTCCACTCCACCACATTTAGAAGGGAAATATTGTCATTTCTTCTCCACTACATTTATCTCACAGCTTCTTTCAAGTGAAACATTCCCACAATTGATAATATCACAAGCTTTTAAAATACAACACATTGTTAACAACTGAACCAGTTTCAAACATCTTCCAGGAGCAGTGTGAAGTCAGGCTTTTAGAAGCTGTCTGAGTTGTTAACAGCTTCACCAAATGTTGTTTTTCCCTTTAAACGCCTCACATCATTTTAATAAATGTTCCGCTGATCCGATACCTCAGCAAAAATCTAAGATTAGAGAGAGCTTTGTGTCATTATTCATGTATAGAACCCTCAGATTTATCTTCTGTCCGTGTATATAACACTGATTATAAAGTAGCTCAACCAGGCAGCAGCTCCAACAGTGACCTGCTGCTGACACACTGATGCTTCACTGATAATAATGTGTCAATATAGCCGGAGAACCTGGAGAGAACCCAAGCTGCATGGGGAGAACATGTAAACTCCACGCAGGAAGATCCCGGGACGCGAACCAGCGACCTTCTTGCTGTGAGGCAACGGTGCTAACCACCGTCCCACCTTGCAGCCCCAAAATTACAGATGTTATCCAGTAAATGAAAAAAAAATGTAATAATTTACATCTTGACTGTAACAAACGCAGGCCCACACTGTACATATGTCTGCATTAAAAATCTGTTATTTTGTAATATGTGACAAAAAACGACACAGTTCTACTCTCTAAAATCAACTAAAATGATCATTATTGTACAGATACTTGCCATTATCTTCATTGTTCTTACAGAGTTTAAACATTACAGTATTCCACTGTTTTATAACAGTTTTTTTTTCTGGCAATCTTGCTACCAGATTTTATTGTTTTGTTTGTTGTTGTTGTTGTTATTGTTTTTTACAGCATACTGTTGCTCCTGTTTTTATTGGCCTTATTTCCCTTCACTGCAGCAACTCAAAGTGAAATAATGAAACACTCATGACCATCTGTTAAAACACAAAACATGACAGAAACATAAAGATTAATAAAATATCAGTAATATTTAATATGACATATATACAGTCAGTGCCCTGCTAAAACACATACAGTGTAATATAATATAACATGGATGACAATTTCTTCATGTGAGATAACATTGATTTCTGCTGCACATTACGCCCTGCTGCCCTGACAACTCCTATGTAAAAACACTATAAAGGACTGCTCACACTTATTCATTTTTACTGGAGTTCTCATGCATGACTTTCTGTTAAACTTAAGTACGGGACCTGAATACTTCTTTCACCAATGAAAGCATG